TCCTGCTGAGGGTCTTTCATTTTCTGAGGGTCTTGCATTCCACCTGGAAACAGCAATGGAAACAACCCCCCCTTGCCATGGAGAGCATATTCCCAGGCAGGAGAAACCCAAAAAGGCCACATATACCTTGGTGACCTGGAGAGGCCCGATCACATTGGTGGTGAACGCAGAGAGCATCTCCTGTGAATCCACGGACTGCAACGTGGCATGCGAGCTGACGCCTGCGTTGTTGATGAGCAGGTTCAGGCCCTGACCCTTCAGATGGGACTCCACAGCCTGCACCGCCCCTTGGATGCTGGGCAAGCTCACTGTGTCTGCCAGAGTGAAAAAGGATGTGGAGGAGAGCTCTGATAGCTTCCACAACTGTGGGAGCTGGGTACTGCCTGGCATCCTGCCCCGTTGTGGGGCAGCAGTCCCTACCTCCCCGCTGGTGTCACACTCCTCGTTGGCTGCCCAACATAACTCACTTCTTCCTACCTTCAATTTGGAGTACCAGAATAACCCTGAATACCCCATCACCCCCTTGCGTGCCCTCAGAAAAAATGGCTGTGGTTGGAATGGCTCTTTTTAAACAAGTATGATCCAAAAAGGAAGGACTGGTTTGAACAGATCAGGGTGCTAAACACATCAAAAGGAGCAGAGGCTTGTCCTCACTTATTGGTTTCACCCAGAAGCCTTGTCTTCACAGAATTAGCTGGATTAAAGTTTACAGTGCATCCCTTGGGAGGAATCCCTTGGGAGGATGCCTAGCTGAGTTTATCGGTATATCCTTACTGCTTGGATGCTTTAACAAGACATATTTTCACTTCAAGTGGGACGAATTTTTTACTGTAAAGCAACACATTTTTTATGAATGTTCATTCTTTCATATCCAACGTTTCAAACTGCTATCCAGCTCTTTTTTAATGACACAGGCGACTACTCTTAAGAGGAGCTTAACTACATTTGCTTTATATATTCAAGGAATTTACTACTGCACAGGGTTTATTTTACAGCAGATTCTTGGTCCTTACACATTGAGGCTGCCAGATTTATTTCTGCCACTAGAAACCAACCCCAGTTGGATGTACATATTTCAATGGTAGATATCATCTTTCAGAAAGTGATATAACTGTGCTCTAGAGTCCTTCTGTACTGCGCAGCAGCTATAGGGGCTGCTAATGTCTGATAGATAGATTCATTTTATCTTTGAATTACACGAAGATACAGATACAGATCTGGCTGACATCTTTTTTCCTTTCTAGCAATCTGTGCTTAAACTGATCTTCCACAACACAATTTCCCATAGTTTTGCAGCTGTTTCACTGGCAGTGAAGTAGTGTGTGCTCTTAAAATGCTTGGGAAATCCTTCATTTCTTGCTTTCCTTTTTTGTTTCACTGTTTTTGTTTCACATTGTTACCAGTAAGGATTTTGAGCTGGCAGGTAAGCAAAAAAGTGAGCACAAGTAATAAAAAATGTGGGGTATAATTCAGTATTTGTTTACAGACTCTGATCTGGACCTCCTCCATTTTGCAGATGCTCTAGCCCAGGGGTGTGGGGATAAACCTTTCCAAGGATCTAGGAACTACTGACTTTTCTGAAATCCTGGTAATGGGTGTAAGCAATTCCAGTTTCTTTTTCTTTGCTTACCTGCTTGGATCTCCTTGGAAAGCTGTTAGGCTTTAATTGGCATTTTTGGCTAAACCAATAGGTGCAGTATTTTTTAGGTTTGTGTTCAGCTTTTGCTTGTTAAAAACTGCATCACTTAACTGGTGGTTGCCCCATTGAACTGTCCATTGTTCATTTGCCTTGCAGATCTGCCTTGCAGATCTAAAAGGGGCCAGTTAGGCTAATATCAAACTTTTTATACTGTCTTTTTTGTATCAAAAGGATACCACCAAGCCCAAAAGACACAGGAATATTCATTTGTATGGGGATGTTAGTGTGCCTTTGCTCTCTGATCACAATTCACTGTGCACACATTTCTGCATACATTTTCACAAGTGTTTATTTGATGAGCCTGCTTTGGGAGGATTTAGGGAGCTTTTTTTGCAACATTTTGGCCCCCAAGTTGTGTTACTGGTCTCATGCTTTACACAAGATTGAGTTAACAAAGGCTGGAAAAGTTAAAGGCAACCTGCTGTTCCCCTGCTGGACTATTTTTTACACCAATGAACAGCAGGACAATCCTTTTTCCTGCTATTTTTAACGAGCCCAGTGGCTTTATGGTGGTAGGCAAAACTCAAGTCTTCCTTTAAAGCATTTGAGTGGCCTGGGACTTGTATCACCTTGCCTCATGCAGCACAGGACTTCATAAAGCTGTGATGAAAACAATTAGGGAGAATTTGATGAGGGAATTTGTTGTGGGCCTGACCTATGTGAATTAAGTACCCATAGGGCAGCACAGGTCTTTATAAGACTACTGTTGCTGTTGCCTTCTAAAATCAGTGGCTATTTCTCAACACCTGGCTGATTGTGAAATGTGAGCAAGGCTTTCCTTTATGCTAAGGCGCTTGGACCCAGCACGAGAGCGTGGGCACGCTGAGGTGCTGCTCAGCTTGGGAATGACTTTGCTAGAAGTCCAAATCCTTTCCCCAGCTGACTCATCCACACACCCAAAACACATTATCAGTGGCTTTGGAGAGTGCAGCCTGTCAGGCATGTAGCTTCACCTCAGGATTCAAGAAGGCACGTTTGACTGGGTACAGCACATTTCACAGTGTGCACTTTTGTGACCTTTTTTTGGATAATGAATTAACTGAGTTCCAGGCTTTGTCACTCCACCATACATGAGGGAACTTTCACCAGCTTTGGTAAATGATTAATTTCTTTGGACTAGCTGAGTCATTGCAACAAGGAGAAGTCATAGCATGCTTATTGGTAGTACTTTGAGACCCAAAGCAGTTGCATAGCAGAGCGCACACTTGCCTTCCCACGTGCCAGCAGTCTCGCGTGCTGGCTGGGCATGGGATGAGAGCCAAGTATGTGGGATGAGCTCATTTATTTTGCTACAATTTTTCATCAAAAATTTTCATTTTTGCTTACTTTGGGTCTTGGCTCTCTTTTGGAGTGTATGTGTTTTAGTAAAGGCTTCACTGGTCAGTGTATTCAGTGTATTCAGTGGTCAGCCCCTTGAGATGTCCCTTTTATGCCGGTTGTGCTTTGGAGAGCAGAGTAAGTTTGCTCTTCTCATCACATACTACCAGTTGGGGATCTCAGGTAATTTTAAAGATGCTATCACTAACTACAAAGAAGGCGCTCTAGTATTCTGAGAGAGAGATTCACTGCCTCTTTTTAGTAAAGATTGACTTCACGAATGTTTTCTTTGCTAAGAAATGCTAAACATTTACTTGAACTTTTCAGATGATTTTTAACAAATAAATAGGTAGGTAGAAACTGATATGGTATTTGCATTTCTTTGATTCAGTGTCCTTATTATTCATGCTAAGGAAATACTTTGGGAACGAGCTCTGGCTGGTTCATATTTCAGTTATTACAGTAGTGACAATTTCATTGTAAATGTTCCCTTAGCTACCTGTTTTTTAGGTTTGCTTTCGTTTTTTACCAACTCTTTTTAAAAACTCACACTCTGGGCAGATTTCGCTCTCTTAAGACAACACTGTCTGCCTCCGCAAGACTCATCTGCAGGAAACTACACTCCTCACTCCGGCACTCTCTGCATATTTAAAGCTCCACCCCGACTCCAACCTTCTCCAGACACCTTACATCCTTGCTCAGCACCCTGCGAGGTAAGTGCACATAAATACCCTATCTTTGAGCACATAAAGTGCTGCCCTGTCTTCTCTCCCTTTTCCACCCTAAGCCCTTGTGCTGTCCAGGTCTATTTGCTATCTTCTCCTGCTGCTCCCCACTGCTGCTGACAAAGGTCACCAAATCTAGCCAGCTTCCAAAGGGACAGGAAAACTCTCCAGTCTGGGCTGCAAACATCCCAAACCAGAGTGTGCCTCTGGGCCTGAGCATCAGCCTGCAATGCCAGCACCAACAGAGGGCCACATGCATCCTTTTAGCCTATTTCTTTTCCCTCTTTTTGCCCGTAGCAAAGGAAACAATGAACTTCCAAAAGAGGCCCCAAAACAATCCTTCTGCTTAGGAACCATCCAGTAAATTTGAATGCTGTGCCCTGCCTTGCTTTGGTTTGTGAACCTATGTGTCACAGCCCAAAAAGCCAGGCAGACTCAGGCACTGCATTCAGCGCTTTTGGGAACTGAGGTCGTACCTTTCCCATAAAACTCGCTTGCTCGAGCTGTTGGGACCCACCTCCACCTGTCTCTGAAGCTGGTTTGACTGCTTTCAGACTGAGGACAGGGCTACGGGGGGGGAGGGAGCAGTAGGCCCAGACATTCACGGATTCCTCCCTGCCTGGTAGGGTTGGAGCCGTCTGGCTGCCAGCATTAAGGCAGGGTGTCTAACAAAGCTGTCCCCAGGCCCCAAGGAAAGCAGAGGGCTAGAGACAGCGCCCAGTGCAGGGAGAAAGATTGCTCCATACCTAGCTGGACCAGTTTGATGCTGGGGTGCCGGGCAGCTAATTTTCTCAGGGCCTGGAAACAAAGTGGTGAAGTGCGGGTTAGACGTCGCTGGTGACTGACAGCACGGCCACGTCTCCCCTATGCAGGGCTGTGCATCCGTCCCGTCCCAGCCCTCAGGTCACCCCCAGCCAGCGCCTGGCCAGGGTGGATTTGCATGGGCCAGGGAAGGTTTTTGGAGCATTCCTAGCAGACAGGGCAGTGCAGTGTTGCCCCAGCTGGCAGTGCCAGGGATGGAGGAATTTTGTTGTCCAGCCGAGAGGCTGGCAGGAGAAAGGGCCCCCGCTGGACTCAGGCTCTCTTCTCTTCCCCAGCCACAGTGAGGTAACGACCAGCTGGGCAGGGAAGGGGTTTCCATTGGCAAGGCCAGGAGTGAGCACTAAGGACATGGGCGCCTTGTGGGCGCAGCCTGGCACTCCAGCCTCGTCACATGTAGCTGGGTCAAGCACAGCCATAATCATGAGGCTGGCCTGAGCCCTGACTGCTGGCCAGGGGGCTGGCAGCTCTGCGGAGACACTGTGGGACTGTCATGTGCGAATGACCCGGCTAGCCTGCTTCCGAGCTGGGAGCCAGACTCTGTAGAGAACTGGCAGGGCCATAGGGTCCGCGAATTCCCCCTCGTTCACCCTGCTCGGGGCCCTGCTCTCGCACTGACCTTCCCACTCAGTCCATCAGGATCACGGCAGGTGGCAAAGATGTGCTGGGGAGCCTGAGGGCTCGCGGCAAGCTGCCTCACCAGCTCCAGCCCGATGCCCCGGTTGGACCCCGTCACCAGAATGCTCTGAGCCAGCGCAGCCATCCTTCTGCGCGCTGGGTGGTGACAAACAAGCTGCACCCAGCAGAATTTCTGTCTGCTCTGCGCGAACAGGAGACTGGGAACAGCCCAGGGTGTGGCTCCAGGCTCCCATGGGGATGCTGACAGTGCTGGCAGCAGCCCTGGCCCCTCGCCTACCCCAGGCAGAGCTAGGGGCCCAGGTTGAGCCAGGAGCCCCCTCACCATGGTGAACACGGGGCCGCATGTCCCCTGCCTGGCAGCATTACCCAGTTTCCCAAGACTTGATTCCTCCCTAAAGCCCCAGCTCCCATAGTCCCTGTAATTATGGGAAAAGGGTCACCTCCATTCAGCAGTTGGAAGAATGCTTGAAACACAACCAGAAACCAGAAGAGACCTAAACAGGACGAAAATCTGGCTGGCATTTAGCATACAAGCTGGCAAGCTCAACTTGTACAAATGATCTCCCTCAGAGCTCCCTCAGAGCTCCTCAGAGCCAGGAGAGGAGGCCCTCAGCTCTCGGCAGGCTCATCTTCCAGCTGTCAGGGCACCAAGCCTGCAGCCCTCACCCTTCTCCCTGCTGGAGGACAATGCAGGGAGGCTTTTCAGACCAACGTACCTCTGCTAAGCCAAGGCTCCTGCAGCCAAAACCAGCCCAGAGGCATGGATTTTGAGAAGAGAGAAGTGAGTAACATGCTGAAAGAAACAAGGAACTGCCATGTAAAAGTCTCAGCCGAACTGGCTGCGTTTAGCCCAGTATTTGGGACAACCGGAGCTTAAGATGAGGGAGGAAATAAGAGGAAAATAGCAGAGATAGGTCTGTGACATCTGGAGTGTCCAAGAGTGCATCTGCTGCCCAGCCTTGCTCGGCCTGTCAGAGGAGACAGAGCTGGCTATTTCTTGTGGATCTCAGTAGTTTCAGACCTGGCACTCACCAGAGAAATATTCTAGCTTCAGCCAGCAGCTGCTAAATGGTGGAGGGGCAGCAAAATTTGGGAAATGTGCTTTCAGCTGACACAGAAGCAATGTTTCTTTCCATTATGGTGGGTACACTATGGCCTCCATGAGAGAAGTAGGTGTGCTGGGTGTGGGTTTGGAAGAGTCGCTGGCATTAGACTCTGATCCACTGTAGAAGGCATTTATTGAGGGCGTAATCTCCCATGCAAGTGATTGCACTGTACAGACTTGCCTGTTCCTGCTGCTATCTGCAAAGCAGCACCCAAAGCGGAGTTCCCATTAAGAACCAACGAGACTGGAGTTTCCTCTTTTTCTTTCCAGGCTCCTTAGGAAGGAGAAAACAGATAGGAGGAAAAGAAGGCTGAAGGACCAGAGCTGGTGGGAATCGCTGCTGGCCAGCCAAGCGCAGAGCTGAAGAAGCCAAGCAGCAAGCAACCTTTGGAAATGGCCAACTGTTGGCCAAGGCCATGGCAACCAAGGCCAAACCAGACAGCAGTGCAGACATGCCAGGGCACAGATCCTGGCTCAGGAAACACAACTTGAGGGCAGAGAGGTTCCAAAAGGGGCCAGAAGGGACGCTGTGGAGAAGAAACGAGACAAATCCATCCAAGATCCTATTGAAGCACCCCACAACCATTCAGATCAGAGAGGACATCAGGAGGGCTCAAATCCAAGCCCCACTCAGAGCTGGCACAGCACTGACTTCAGACTAGGTTGCCCAGGGCTTGACGCAGTCAGGTCTCAAAAACCTCCAAGGAAAGAGATCCCACAGCCTCTCTGGCCCTTCTTTCAATGCCTGATGATCCTCACAGTGAATTTTTTCCTCTGTGTCAAACCTCTCCAGGCCTAGCTTATCAACACTGCCTCTGCCTCAGGCTGTGCACCTCCATTACCTGCAGCTCCCTGACCGCGTGAACTGAGCGTGATTGCTGAACAACCGCAGTGTGTCTTATTCATGAACTGGTCCCCGCAGTGTGTCTTATTCATGAACTGGTCCCCTCAGGCCGATGCGGAGGTTTTGCAACCACTTAGTCACATGCAGGGAGCCCTGCCGCGTTAACCCACAGAGGCAGTCAAGGAGGGCCTTGATCACTGCTGGCAGCCACCCAGTCCACTCTTCCTGGACCGGCTCTTTTTCTCCCTTATCCCCTTCGTGGCTCCAGCCTTTCTAGCAGCCTGTCGCCCTCCAGAGGCCAGGGGGCAACACCTCAGGCCTGCACATGACAGCGGGCCGGGGCTGGGCTCGCCAAGGCCTTGCCATAAGGCAGGATCACAGCGCCCACACAGAGGAAGGGCGGCGGCGGGCCAGGGGCCAGCGACCTCGGCCTCTGCGGTCCCTGCGGTCCCTGCCCACCGCCCCGTGACGGGCTGGGCAGCCCGCAGCCTCCTGCCTAGCGCCTCC